TTTTTTTTTTTTACCCCAACACAAGAACGAGCTGAGCTTGAGGCAAAAGCTGAGGAGATAGCCTTCCTGCTTTCAGTATTACCTGGGCCTCCTGCACATCCCTCCTGAAGCCCTCACTCTGGGAAGCGAGCTGGGTGGGCTAATGTTGAGGCTGGTTTGAGTGGGAGCTGGGAAGGCTGAGGGCCCTTTTACTGTCCTTGGGGTTGTAGGTAAGAGAGAGTTTATTTAGGGTCACCAGAGGCTCCCAGTGTGTTGCACATCAAGTCTCTGCCTAGTGCTTTCTATCCACAACTCATTTTATAGACTCCTAGGATTTTTAGAGCCAAAAAGGAGCCTTTAAGGTCATTTAGCTCACCCTCTCTCCTATCCTTGAGAAGCCAGCTTCCACCGGAATAGTCCCAGTGATGGAAGCATTCTGAATATTCTCACTGTGTGTGAGGTAGATCATTACTGCTGGGTGACTCCAGTCCTCAGAAAGGTAGTTTATTGAACTATAAAAGGTCGTCTACCTACTTTTCACTTCTACTCATTGGCTCTAGTTCTTCGTATGACCTGAATGCTATTTTTCTCCTAAAACAATCTACAACTACATTCATTTTTCAATATCTACATTACATCACACACGTATACCTAAGATCTTGGCTTGCATTCCATGTGTATAACAAAAAAGTCTCTAGATCACTGCTTTTTTCACGCTGTAGTCAAACCAGGGCTTCTGTATTTGTCCTAATTAACATATTTACTTCTAAAACATTTCCAAGTGAAGTTAGGATAGCAGATATCACTGAGCTCATTTCCTAGAGTAGAGGGGGCGAACTATAGCTGAGGACACAATCAGGCCCACCACTTGCTTTTGTGCTGTTCACAAACATTTGTAAATGGTTAAAAACACCCAGAAGAATATTGCATAACACGTGAAAATTATATGAAATGACATGAAATGTAATTGGAACACATGTTAATTCCTTTATGTCTTGTCTGTGGCCACATTGGTGCGACCTCAGCAGAGTTCAGTGGTTGCGGCAAAGGCTATATAGCCTGGAAAGCCTAGATGCTAGTTCGCCCTTCACAGAAAAAGGGTGCCACCTTCTGCCCTAAAGGATAGAGACTCTCAGAGGAGTCACGTACTTCCCCAGATGGATAGAAGCAGAACCTTGCCCAGGACCTGACCTCTAAACTCTGAGTTCTGAGTTTTCTAAATACTTAGATTGTTCTTTTTATCTTGGCACATGGATAATATATTTCCAGAGGCTGGAACGAACAGAAATTATGAGTATTATCAATTCCAATCTGTTATTTACATGTTTTACAAGGGACAGTGTGGCGTCATGGAAAGAACATTGACTGTGAGCTTAGGAAGGTCCACGTCCTGCTCCCAGGCTGTGACTTACTAATGTGAAGTCTTGGGCCAGCTCCTTGACCTCTGAGCTCTGGTTCCCTCAACTGTAAAATGAGGATTTTGTATAAGACCACGATCTCTAAGATGCCTCCTGGCACTAACATGCTGTTACTCTCCTGGGAAAACTTAGCATCATGAGTGTAAGTGCCTGAGGCCTGAAAGCTGCCTCATGTGCAGACCTCACTTAACCTACCTCAGCCTAAACTGCCCTTCCTTGCAAGTTGGCAGCATTTAGGTGGCCAAGTAGATCTACTTATAACTTTTGGCTCGGCCTCTCTGTAAGAATTACCCTCTGTTTTAATCTTGAGGCCCAAGGCCCAAGTCTCTTATTTTTATACATCTTCTAATTGAGCAATATGGGTGGCCTTAGGGCCTCAGTGAGTTTGCCCTCAAGAGCCCTCCAAGAAAGTCTACACCATGGGCCCAGGCAGCTGACTCCTCCGCAGGGTGTGAGCTCAGCAGGGCGGGATGGCAGGGATTCAGGAGAGGGAGGGCTGGTTCATTCCTCCACGCCAGTGCCCTGTGGAGGGGAGTGCTTCACCTAGCAAAGATGGCACCTGTGGGCAGTGTGGGAGAGGGACCCAGCACAGGGACCCTGGTGGCTGTCCCCCCAGCTCTCTCCCCAGAAGCACGCCACCCAGTCTGTCTTCACGCGACTCCAGTCTGCTGCCACCTGCCCTCTCTGCCGGAGTGGCCCCAAACAAGATTTTGTGCCCTGGCCTTTTAAGAGGGCAGGTGGGTTTCTAGCGGACTCCCACCTGTCCCTGGCAGACAGAATTTCCACTGGTTTTCACAGCCACGTGTTACGTGGGCTCCTCTTCCCTGCTCTGGGCTGGGGTTGAGGCCTCACTGTCTCCAGGAGAACTTTGACAGCTGAGATTTCCCTCCCGATTCTCAGCTGCAGCACGTGGCTGTGGGTCCAGCCCCTTCCACATCTCCACCCTCCTCCCAGTCTCCATGTGGGCTTCTTCTGTGAATCCTTGGTTAGGAGACTTCCGTTCAGCTAGTCAGGAGTCGGTAATTCAGGCTGATTGTTCTAGAATTGAGTCCTATTCCAGTTTGGACCTGGGAGGAGGTGAGTGTAACGTGTACCTACTCTGATGCCACCTTGGATCCTGCATTGGTTAAAGTCATTTGGGGATGATAGGTTCTTCCCCAAAGGGTAGTTTTTGTTGAAACTAAATGAATTGAGATGGATTTACTTAGGGCGTACATGGTAATTATCCTACATAGGCCATAAGCAGAGTTGTGAGGGACGACCTGTGTCCCCCATGGTGCCTGCAGCTGTTCAGCCCAGCAGGCAGGGCGCGGCATTGCCGTTTCCAGATATGGCCAGGGACCCAGGCTTCAAACCTGAACATCTTCCCAGTTTTTTTCTGATGAAACGTAGCAGTCCTTTGTTTATACTTCAAGCATTTGCTTCCCCTGAGATTGATCCCTCAAGGTAATGGCTTCATGTGCTGCCGGACCTGGAGTCACCCCAGCCCTATCACGCGTTGTTCTCTAGACCTTTTGTGGTACAATCGAGTGTAGCTGGACAGGCATCAGGAGACCTGCGATTTGTGCTCTTTTCATCTGTCAAATGGGGCATTCATATCTGCCCCTCCTTTCTTGCCTTGTTTTGAAAATAAATGTAATAGTTGAATTTAGACCACACAAACTTACTGACTCCCTACTGGGTTTATAGATTTGAAAGTGTGAAAAGGCATCTTTGACCTCCCAGGAGAAAGGTGGTTTATCCAAGGTGCTCTTTTGATGGCAAAGTTTGTCACAGCTCTGAACGGGGTGCTATTAAAAGTCAATAGAACCGGAAAAATACAAATAAATCTTGCTTGGCGAGAAAAAGAAAATCACTGGCTTAGGACCCTTCGCACAGCGTGAGGGTGATATTTCACAGCCTGGTGATATTTCAGGCTATCTAACCGTTGTTGCCCTACTGGTCACTGACAGCGGTGTGAATGGATTTTTAATCTTCTGCTCCTGAGGTCATGGTCATCCAGTTCCAAGACATGACCGAATAACATGACCTACTTTCATGATAAGGTAGTGCCCTAAAAACTGATTACCACCTTTACCTGGGACGTGGGTTTGAGATTTCCTTCTAGCTATTTCCATAGTTTGACTTACCAGGGAATAAAATAAGAGAATGCTGGCTCTTCATGTCATTTCTTATACCCTCACTCACCATCCCAGGGTTCTTGAGTACCTTTAGCACGAGGTTGTAGCTGCGTTCTCTGAGCAGCTGTTTCCATGATCAGCTGCATCACCCCGCATCAGACACTTAACTCACTGAGCCTTAGTTTGACCGTCGCTGAAATAGGGATAAGCTTGCTCCTTGCCCTGGCTGGCTCTCAGGGTCCATAACACTCAGCAACAATGACTTCTTTTCAGGCAGTCTAGTTTTCCAATCTCCATTCCTCTCAAACAGTCCTCCCCTTCCGTAGAGTGCCCAGAAAGAACAGGAACTTCGATAGGAAATGTAGAACTATCAGAGGTGGCCCAGTTGGGGACATGCAGGGCCTCTGCACCATGCACTCTCAGGAACGGGGCCTGAAACCCTCTCCCAAGGGAGTGGAAGAGCTGGGAAGGCGAGGTCTGGGTCTCCAGGGAGCTTGCACCCCTGCAGTTTCATCTGCTCCAACCAGATGGAGCCGTAGAACAGCAGGAAGTCGGGGCAACCTTATAACTGAGAACCAGTGAGGCAGGCCTACCCCATTTCCACGGGGTCCCTCTGTGCCCCCAAGGGGCTGGCAAGACAGTGCAGGACCCCCAGGCCCTAGCTGGTTCGGAGGGAGCTCATGTAACTTGGAGACCACACAGACACCGGGGCTCACTCCTGCAACTCCCCACCTCTGATCTGAGCAGGAGCAGGGGTTAGATGCAGGACAGAGTGGGTAAAGCCCAGAGGTCTCACCCCTGAAGGTCCATATTCAGCAATGGAAGCGTGTCTTCGGTCCATGCCTTACAGATAGTGGTGTGTATGTTCTGCCTCAGACAGGGGTGACTTGGGACCTGCAGGGGGAGGAAAGAAGGAGGTTGGCAAGTGGATCTGGTTGTGGAGAGCTAGGGGTGGTATAAACAAAGGGGAAAGGCAGGGACTGGCGATGCACGAGCCTTTGATTTGGTACCCTGTCTGCTTTACTTAATCCTTTCCGCTCATCTTTTCCTGCAGCAGTGTCCTTGTTAAACGGATGTTCAGGCCCATGGAAGAGGAGTTTGGCCCAACACCTTCCAAGCAGATCAAAGAAGAAGGGATGAAGCGAGGTATCTGTCCCACTGCGGCCCTCTGGCATTGCTGAAAAACCCACCCCCCACGATGAGCAGGAGGGGGTGTTTGACCAAGGAGAACACACGGCCCAGTCCACACCCCGGTGGTTCAGTGCGGGCCTGGGGATGTTTTATTGACACGGGAAGGTCACAGTCTTCTCCTTTGCTTTACTGTCTTTGAAAACACTGTAAGCAAATGTTTATTCTTTCTGGGCGCTGTTTCTTTCCTTCGCCTTGGGAGAAATATAATGAATACACTGACTCATCCGGCAGTGAGATATAAGGTTAAAAAGAGACTCTGCTGTGTGCATGACAATAATTTAAGCACCAGCGATGAGAATTGTTCAGTAGACGCACCCGATGAAACTCACACAAGCAAATGAACATGTTTTCTGTGATGTCGCAATTCACTCATTTTCTCTCAGTCAAGGGTCTTACTCCACTTCACCAAGAAAGTAGAGAAAGAAGCATAAGCATGTCAGTAGCAGTCTCCCCATAGCTTGCTGTAGCTAACACCGGGGTAGCAGTCCCCCCATAGTTTGCTGTAGCTAACACTGAGGTAGCAGTCCCCCCATATTTGCTGTAGCTAACACCGGGGTAGCAGTCCCCCCATAGCTTGCTGTAGCTAACACCGGGGTAGCAGTCCCCCCATAGCTTGCTGTAGCTAACACTGAAAGCTTCCAGACACCTTCGACTTTTAATGAGTCACCATGTTAAATATATTCGCCATCCACATAGGCTTGAGGTTTCTGTTCCTGAGAGATTTTACTTCATTCCCCTGTTTGTTGCAGTGGGATTTGCAGTGATCAAGAGCATGCCCTCGGGGGCCTCCCTCAGCCCTGTATTGTGTGATGACCTTAAGAGTCCTCATCTGTAAAATGGGTATGACCAGAGTACCTACTCCATAGAGTCGCTGGGAGGACTGATGAGTGAATGTGTATAAAACACTTAACTCAAGTGCCTGATACAGAGTAAGCGCTTGCGCTCACTGTTATAACTACAGTTATATCATTAGGCCTGGATCTATTTAAGGCATTTTTCGTAATTGTGAGTAAGTAATTAGTGTTTCAAAATGGAAAGGTCGTACATATCTGGATAGCGTTAGTTACATTAGCAACACTTTTTTTCTGATATCACAGGTTCACCAAGTATTTGGGTGCGTTTTGAGCTCCATTCTTGCCTGCTTTTAGAATGAGGGCAGAGCTATATGGAAATCAAAGAATCACACAGGCAAAATTAATTGCAACTTGCATCCGTATTTAGTGCCTGCTGGCTAGTCCAAAGGTGGTGCTTTTCGTATTATTTTGAGATTGTGACATCAGGACAAAAATTGCTGCTAGGAATTGTATTGGACTATGATGAAAAGCAGTTATCTGGCCTGTGAAACATCTAAATCATAGGGACACATGAGGGCGCTGTTCCCTGCCAGCAATGGAGGTCGTGTTCTCCCAGGAGTAGCTTTGGGAAGGACTGTGGTGTTGCTGAGCCCCTCGCGGGAGCTCCCAGACTGAGCTGGTCTTTGACCAGCGCTCGGAATCAGCATTAGTGCAGGTTCCTTTGTTGATTTGTTAGGAGTTCTCTGGGAGAGAAAATGAGCATAATTATCACTAATGCCATGATTTGTTATTTGCCTTTCTAGCCGATTCTCAGGGTGGCTTTGTTTGGCTTCCCTGGGGGCCGCCCCGGTGGCCGGCTGCCTTTGCACGGGGCCTGGGTTGCATTCGCGTGGGCAGCTGCGATTCCTAGAGAGCTCTGCGGATACACAGCTCGTGAGAGCCAGCTCCCTGGGCTCCTTGCTCAGGGTGCTGTGAGCTCAGCGGGAGAAGGCGGCACTGCCCTTGGGGGAGGGGGCCCCCATCCACTTTTAGCTCTTTCCGAAGCCGTATTATCTCAAGGACAAATATTTTAAAAGAAGATTTGTAAATCCAGTGGAAGCAGTACTCATTTGAATAGAATGTGGTTTGGGGTTTTGTAGGGATCAGACCGCTGGAAATTACATTTTTCTGCTGGGAGCTATGGGAGGAAGCTACAGAATGTTCATCTGTAACAGCCACTAGTGAGAGGTTTCATTGTTTCTCTGTTCTGTCTTGTTTTAGTTAGTTATTTTTACTTTAATTTTCCTCACCTAGTGGTAGTTGAGGTCCGGTGACCTAACTGTTCCTCGTATGCTGCTGGTGCTGGGTTCTCATGAGGCCGTTAGGTCACTAGAAAATACTCCTTCCACGGGACATTTGGAAATCTCTGGAGACCCATTCAATCTGTTTAACTGGCATTTTGTTTTTATACCGGGTAAAGAGAAGAAACTGCAGTGCTTCAGGTGTGTTGTTTTGTTTTCAACGTATACAAACTGAACATCTGGCTGCAGGGAGAAAATCCAGGCAGCCCCACGTGCACCCTGTAGACTTTGCCTTTACAAAGCAGCAGCTGCAGTGAAGTCCTGGGAGACGGGGCGGAGGGGGAGAGATGTGGGAGTTTGGGTTAGAGCTGATTTCATTTCCTGGCTCCCTTCCTTCTCTGAAGAAGGAACCAGAAGCCGTGTCACTGGGAGTGAGAAAGGGTTTGCAGGGTCACGTCTGAATGGCAGCTCCGGTTCTTTCGGGGGGCTGAGCTCCAGTGCAGGTGCTGTAAGAAGGTATACAGTGGTAGAGAGCCTTGGCCTCTCTGATGACCCTAGGGTCCCTGTCATCTCTCACTTTCTGTGCATTGTCAAATTCAGAAGGTTCTGTTACCGAGAAATGAACAGAAAGCTGCCTTCACGTTCTCAGAGGGCACTAGAGCCACGACAGTTGCTCCATAGCAGCATCGCTGAGGAATGGGCGGGTGCTTGCTGCGTGCCCAGCACTGCGCTGAACATCCCGCATGGAGGCTGTTTCATTGAACCCTCACAGCCCACTTATGAGGTCGATACTATTATCTCTGTTTTAGAGAGAAAACCAAAGCGGGGAAGGTTAAATGACCAGGGCCCCACAGCAGGCTGAACAGGGGTCAAAGCCAGACCTGTCAGACTCTTATCAACTTGCCTCCTAAATGCAGCGCTCGGTCCCGGGCCTTTGCACGTGTCGCTCTGTCCGCTGGAGTTTGCTCTCCTCTCTCTCCTCTCCCCCTCCCTGCGCCCCTGCACCCCCCTTGTCTGCGTCAATGCCTGTCCACCCTGGTATCGCAGACCTCTCCTTCCAGGCAACCTGGGAGCCCCCCCCCACCCTCCTGAAAAGCTCAGGCCCCTGTAAGCACTTCCTCCTGTCTTTCCTTCATAGCTCTTAGGACTCTGCCTAGTTGTCTGCTTATTTAAGTAGCGCCCCCCTTTCCAAGTGGACGTCAGTCTCAGGGGCAGGCTGTGTCTTCACGCACTGCTGCGGCCTCAGCTCCCCGCATGCAGCCTGGGACCTAGGGGCCCAGGTGGGAATTCAGTAATATTTGTTGAATGATCAAACAAATACGTAAAAGACAGAGGTCGCAGAAAGAGATGTCCTAAAAGAAATCATGGGCCCACTGCGAGAAATTCAAACGTGAACAACGTGTGACACACACAGCCTGCTGGGCGTGACCCAATTGTCAGCTTATGTCATCGGGGCAGGTTGCCTATGGACCTGCCTCGTCACCCTGTAGGATGCCGTCTGCTCCGGGGCCTGAGGCTTATTAGGAGACAATATCAGCATACCACGCCTGGGTGACGGGAAGCGGTGTCCTGTGGCCGCTGCAGGGCTGTGTGGGCCCTGCGGTCACCGCTGTCCCCCCCTTGCTCTTTCAGTGCTTCTGTACGTGAGGAAGGAGACCGACGACGTGTTCGACGCCTTGATGTTGAAATCTCCCACCGTGAAGGGCCTGATGGAAGCGGTAAGCCATGAGCCCCCTCCCGGGAAACCTGCTTGTGTCCTCCGGAGCTCGAATCCATTGATCAAAATGCGGCCTTTGACATGGCTCCGGAATGAGCTTTCCAAAGAAGAAAAGGTGGAGATTTGTGGAGACTCTGATTTCCATCCTGTCAGGGCTTATTAGCATCCTAAGGAGAGGGAAAGTTTGAAGAAATGCCAGTTCCCTGTCGGTGGAAGGCTAATCAGGGGAAGACGCCATAGAGGAAGGTTAAACTGAGTTTCTCTCTTTTTTTGAAACTGTGAGCTTCCATTTGTCTCTTTGCATCAAACCAAATTAGATATGTTTAACTTCCAAACATGCACGGAACAGAAGCAATGAGAAAGTGTCTTGCTAGCTGTGATAGTGTAATCCAAAATAAAAATATGACCTCTTGGCTAAGAAAAGAACATATTACAGAATTCTGAAGTAAGATTCTAAGTTCCTTCCTCCCTTCTCAGCCCAACTAAGTCTAGCATTATCCTTACCTGGGCTCAGGAAAAGTTATTTTATATTTTATCCATATGTTACTGATCTGCAGGTGACTTTAATCTGACTCTACTTTGAGTATGACTTCTAGCTCCCTCTCACCTTTTTCCCCTGTGCAACCGCTCTAGATGATTCAGGGTTTTTTTTAATAGTGCTGGAGACAACAGGACTGCCAAGGGACAGTCCAAAATCATTTGTTGGTCCGAGAAAGGGCTGCATTGGAAACAGCATTTTGGGCTATAGGGAGGAATGTTATAATGTGTAGGATGGAGCCTATCCGTGGAATCATAAAATTCATGGTCCTTTGTGGCTGGTTTACTTCAGCCACATTTCAGCACGTTTTGAGGTTCATCCGTGTTATAGTATAATCAGTACTTCATTCCTTTTTCATGGTTGAATAATATTCCATCATGTGAATAGACTACATTTTGGTTTTTCATTCATCAGTTGATAGACATTTGGACTCTTGTGCATAGCACTGCTTTGAACATTCGTGTGCAGGTATTTCTTTGAGCACCTGTTTTAGTTTTTTTGGGTATATATCAAGGAGTGGAATTGCTAGCCAGACCATAAAGGTCACATAGTATATGATTCAATTTATAGGAAATATCAATAATAGGCAAACCCATAGATACAGAAAGCAAATTGGTGGTGGTCAGGAGCTGGGTGAAGGGGTAATAAGAAGTGACTTAATGGGTTTCTTTGTGGGGTGATGGAATGTTCTGGATCTAGAGAGTCCTGGTGGTTGCACAACATTGTGAATGTACTAATGCCACTGAATTATACACTTTAAAATGGTAAAAATGGCAAATTGTATGATGTGTAAAAAAAAAAAAATCTTCACCGTTCATCTGAATTTTTTTTTAATGCAGAGGAGTATCGCCAATGCAGATTTCACACTGCCCCCTGTGGATGGCATTGCTAACAGGTCCCTAGGCATTTCTGACCGGGGACCACCCTCTAAGAATCACTGATGGAGGGCTTGATAGTCTTTTCGACAGGATTCTGCAGTGGGATGGAGTTAATTGTTACTGAATCTGCTGTGCCTGAAGGAAAAACAAAATAGAAATGGACACAACAAAAATATGATCTATATCTCTTCAAATGAACCAGGATTTTAAAAATGACCCTAAAATCGCCAGAGGTAAACTTATGAGCTAGAAAGGTCTTTAAAATATTCTGACCTGTCTGCAGTCCTTTGGACAAATTTCATAACCCCAACCTGGCCTTTAAGATCATATTACTGACAGTGACCTATCATCTTGCAGGGGGGTGAGGGGGTTGGTTAATATTTTTAACAACTAAAGGCTACATTTTAAAAAATCCTTAACTTTTAAGGAAATCTGTTAAATCAAAGGTTATTCTACTTGACCTTGAACTATCACTTTGAGCCCTTCCACTGGCTGAAAATGACTTCCCATAAAAACACAATCCTGCGCTCATTGTGGAACCAGCAGGTACTGTGGGCCGAGGCTACTGCTTCTCTAAATGGGAGATTCCCCTCAAATCTCCTAGGATACTTTCCAGTGGTGCCATCCCAGAGCCCCACACCTGACCTTCAGAATCCTGCTCTCTGGGACCTGGCCCAGGTGTCAGCGTTGGTAACCGGCGCCCTGGTTGACACTGAAGCCCACTGAAGTTTGGGAGCCACTGCCTGTGTGCACCCTGGCTGGGAACTCGCGTTAGAGTCTGATTCTGCCCTAAGGCCCTATGTGCACGTTCACTCAGAATGGGAATAACCTCCCGCATTATACTCTTCGGGGGCCAAAGTTCCTGTAAAAGTAGTTGTGAGCAGGGCAGTGGCCCTGTTGGCCATTTCATGTGCACAGCCCCACTCCTGCGGGTTTGCGACTTGGCCTGGGTCTAGGCTACGTCCTTAATCTTTCATCGATGGTGTGGGAAGACCAACTGTTTTCTCTGCTGAGGAAGGTACTCATAGCCTTCCAGGGATAGCAGCCCTCACAGCTCCAGTGTACAAGTGTGCCTGTGCGTGTGCGTGTGTGCTCGCGCGCCTTGCAATTGTTTTTGAAATAGGAACGCTTGCTTCATATCTATATTCACATTGTTTTAGTCCCTTCCTGAACTAGTTATTGAAAGGTTGGTTGTGCCTCGACTTCCCCATCTGTAAAATGGAGTCATTGAATCATTAGTGAGTCAACACAAGCACTCAGTAGATAGTGGCCGAGGCGATGGCAGTGACGTTGACGATGCGGCTGCTTCTGCAGCAGGACAATTTGGGTTGCTTTCCAATGGAGAACCATCTCTTATTTCTCCTGTTAAACTCCAAATTCCCTGTCCTTGGTTTGGGATACTTTAAGTGTGTATTTTTTTTCCCCTTTAAAAAAATAAAAAAGAGAAATGTTGATTTGTCGTGGAGACAGAACAGAATGATATTGATGGTATTGCCTCCCTTCCCTCAGATGGAACTGAGGTCTGAGTCAGAAAGTGCCATGCCAGGCAGATCCGTTGAACAGTTTGTAGGTGGTGACAGTGCTCTACCGCCTACAGATTTCCTGAAGTCTGGAAGTCAGGTGACCAAATAGGATGGAGTCGTTGTGTTATCTAGAAATTGGCTTGTTTTCATACTCAACAGACATTGTACTCTCCTTTGAGATAATATTACTGAGTTGGCCTTAATCAAAGAAGTCTCCTGTAAGGCCAAGGTCACACTGCAGGAAATGCTCCAGTCCAGTTTGAGGTTAGTAAAAATAAAGACGTATGTTCTCCTCATGCAAGTTCATGTATGTACTCCTTGGGCATCTATAGACCCAGGTTAAGAAGCCCTGGCTTTGATCAGCCAGGCTGAGGAAATGGCTGCTCCAGAAATGATGCCGAAGCAAGGTGCTCCTCCAGCATTTCCTCTGTGCACCATGTGTGTCAACTGAGCAGGTGCAGAAGCACAGGGAGTGGTCCCGAGAGATGCCACGCCTGGCTGGCCTTTCCTGTGTCCCTTCAGCAAGGCTTCACTCAGAGCCCTCTGGCTGTAGAACCAACTCACACGGGCGTTTCTGTTTTGATTTCCATGTGCAGGTATAGACACAACCGGGGACCTGACGGATAGAGTGGCTGCCAGCCTTGGGAGGAAGAGAGATAGGCAGTAGAAATTCTAGCTTTGGGGAAGAGTGACCAAAGCTACGTCGGCCCTACGTTATTCAGAGTATCTCACCAGATTTGGAAACAGCATTAAGATGCTCAGAGAAACTTGCTAGTATTAGAGTTTATTTAGACAGACATTAAACATAGCATCTGCCTAAAGGAATTTGAGATTTTGAGGAATGAATGCTGAGCTGCTGTACAGCCAGGGTTCTGTGGGAGTACTTCCAAATGATTGTGCATTTCTGGCAACGTACAATTTTGTATTTCTAATTTTATTGAATTATGGTCTACTTTGGCTTGTCTCTGTGGCCCAATACATGATAGATTCTCTTTAGATGGTGTGTGTGTGTGTGTTCATAAAATCTAGTATACTGGTTTACTCTTCAGCTGTTTTTACTTACTTGTCTATTAGGTTTGTCCAGTTCTAAAAGAGCTATATTATAGCCTCCCACTAACTGGTTTCAAGTTGTCCCTGCATCTGTAATAATTTTGCTGAAGCTCTGCGGTCGCTCTCCCATTGACGCGCATAGTGCTTTTGTTCATTCCTCCGCCACGTCCATTCTCACCTCATAACTTCACCTTGTCTCATGGTAACCTCACGGCCCGGCCTTTCCTTGGCTCGTGCTCGGGGGTCACCCACCAGCCATCCTTTTATCCACTGTATTGTGCCTGGTGTTTCTCTAAATGGCACATAGCTGGTTCCTCTCTTCTCACCCTCTCACCCTTCCTTTATCTTTTCCTTTCCTTTCTTACCCCCTCTGGCTTTCCGTGGAAAAATGCAGTTTGTTTCATTGATTTTATTCCTTCCATCTTCCATGTTTATTATTTATTTCATTTCGAGGTTTCCTCTTACCGTCTCTTTAGTTTTACAGTTGGAGTGAGTTGGTTTTTAATCTTTTTTTAAAAGTTATGCCTTACTTTTCCTAAATTGTTTCAACCCCTTTTCTTCCTTATTTCCCTATGATTTGAAAATAAAATTTCAATGACTATTTCCATCAGTATCTCTAGCCCCACTCCCTCGGGGGTGAGAGCTTTGTGTTCATCTGAGTGTTTCTGTAGGCCGGGCGACTAGATGTGGAATATGTGGGTCAAAGGATACATGCCGTTCTTTTTTTTTTTAATATATCTTTATTGATTTCAGAGAGAGGAAAGGAGAGAGAGAGGGAGAGAACCATTAATGATGAGAGAGTCATTGACCGGCTGCTTCCTGCACGCCCCCGACTGGGGATCGAGCCCGCAACCCGGGCCTGTGCCCTGACCGGGAATCAAACCCCGATCGCCTGGATCCTAGGTCGACGCTGAACCGCTGAGCCACGCCGGCCGGGCTGCGGTTCCAATTTCAGCAGCTTACGCCAGATCTTCCTCCACAACGACCGAGCTTGTTGCTTTCCCACCTGTGGAGCATGAGGCCTGCTGTTCCTCATACTCCGGCTGACATGGTATTACCATTGTTTTAGTTTTTGTTGGTCTGATATTAGAGAGAGGAAGGGAGAGGGAGAGGGAGAGAGAAGCATCCATGAGAGAGACCACATCGGTCGGCCGCCTCCTGCACGGCCCGACTAGGGACCGAGCCCGCGGCCCGGGCNTGTCGGCCACCTCCTGCACGGCCCGACTGGGGACCGAGCCCGCGGCCCGGGCCCTGCCCTGCCCGGGGATCCAGCTGGGGCCTCTGTTCGCGGGTCGGCGCTCAACCTCTGAACCGCGCCGGCCAGCTGAACATTTAAATTGTGTGTGAGGTGGTGCGTTTCTTCACATGCCTATCGTCCTGTCGTCTTTTTTCTACGAATTACTTCTTCTTGTTGTGTTTTTTCTTTTCCCCTTCAGTTGTCAAGTGTCTTTTGTTTTTGTTTTGATTTTCAGGGATTCTTTCCAACTTAAGGAAATTAGTTCCATGTCTGTCATTTGTGCTGCCAAAATGTTTCCCGGTGGATTCTTAGGCCTCAGCTTTTTATGGTGGTTTTTGCTGCACTGGTACTTTTAATTCTATATTGTTTTATCAACCTTTGATCTTTTTCGTCAGGTATCAGTCCTGCTTGGAAAGATCTCCCTTCCTTGAAGATGATATCTATACAAAGAATTGACTCATGGGTTTCTTCTTGTACGGTTTCAACCTCCACACGTAAATCTTTGATCTGATTTATTTTGTCTAGGAGTGGAGAAAGGATCCAGCTTAATTTGTTAATTTTTTTTTATATGGGCACCTATTTAATCCACATTAGGATAAGTGCCCATCTTCTTCTGACTGATCTGAATGACACCTTCATCATAGATTAAATTCCCATGTGGCTGAATCTGTTGTTGAATGATTTAAGGTTTATCCAGAGGGAGAGAGAGCCTTAGAAATGAGGCATTTTGAGAGTTTGACTCATGACTGAAGGTCACTGGCTCTCAGTATAATCTCCACGAGAGCGAAGCCAGAACTTTCTCTCTTGCGACTGCTTGGACTCCCCGTCTGTGCTCACCTGCCTCTTTGTTGTTGCTATTACAGATATCTGAGAAATACGGGCTGCCTGTGGAGAAGATAGCAAAGCTTTACAAGAAAAGCAAAAAAGGGTAAGAAAGAAACTGAACTTAAATTAACTCTCAGACCAGAAAAGTCAACATAGTGCCTTAAAAAAAAAAAAAAAGACGATGCCTCTCTCTTGTTTGAGGACCTTTAATGAGAGAGGAAGGGAGGGTTGTGCATTGTCAGCTGAGATGCCGTATTCCAGTGACAGGGTTAGTGGGTGTGGTAGAGGAGTCTAGAAGTGTCACCCTCTGTAGAGGGTGTCATTTAGGGAATCCGTGCTGCTCCTGGGGTTGGCTTCTGGGCTGCACAGTAGGAACAAAGGATTCATTTTTCCAAGGTAATTATTAACAAAATGAGCTAAATGATCTGTGGACCTGCCTGTTCCCAGTGTTAAGAATGACAGCTCTCATTTATGGGTGTTCAGTAGCTTCTGGGTCCCCTGCCATGTGCTTTCTATGCATTGCTCTGTTGTTCTCACCACCCTACCAGGGAGATTCTTATCCCTACTCTACTGATGAGGAAAGTGAGCCACATGGAAGTTAAGCATCTTGCCCAAGGTCTCATGTTCAGTCGGTGGAACACAAATTTGAACCCAGGTCTGTGGCCCCTGGGGCTTCCTCTGAGGCTGCAGGAGCTGAGTCTAGTGTCAGAGGGTCTTTATTAAGGCAGCCTCTGGGGCTATTTTCCTATAAAAAGCAGAAAATGGGTCTGTAAACTTTTCTCTAGGCCCCTNGAGAGAGGAAGGGAGGGTTGTGCATTGTCAGCTGAGATGCCGTACTCCAGTGACAGGGTTAGTGGGTGTGGTAGAGGAGTCTAGAAGTGTCACCCTCTGTAGAGGGTGTCGTTTAGGGAATCCGTGCTGCTCCTGGGGTTGGCTTCTGGGCTGCACAGTAGGAACAAAGGATTCATTTTTCCAAGGTAATTATTAACAAAATGAGCTAAATGATCTGTGGACCTGCCTGTTCCCAGTGTTAAGAATGACAGCTCTCATTTATGGGTGTTCAGTAGCTTCTGGGTCCCCTGCCATGTGCTTTCTATGCATTGCTCTGTTGTTCTCACCACCCTACCAGGGAGATTCTTATCCCTACTCTACTGATGAGGAAAGTGAGCCACATGGAAGTTAAGCATCTTGCCCAAGGTCTCATGTTCAGTCGGTGGAACACAAATTTGAACCCAGGTCTGTGGCCCCTGGGGCTTCCTCTGAGGCTGCAGGAGCTGAGTCTAGTGTCAGAGGGTCTTTATTAAGGCAGCCTCTGGGGCTATTTTCCTATAAAAAGCAGAAAATGGGTCTGTAAACTTTTCTCTAGGCCCCTCTCATAAAGGAAATTGATTATTTGGGTAGCTCAGGCTTTTCTCAGTCATGGGGTCTCTTGGCAAGATAGTCAAGAAGGAAACTCTTTGCACTTGAGCCCTTGTTGGAAAGCTCACTAAACCGCATTTTACAGATTTTCTGAGGTCAGTGCCATAGTCCGGGTTTATTCCATGATTGTGAGATGAGTGGTGTCTCAAGATCTTGCTGCTGCACAGAACCCTCAGTGCCAAAGTCCAAGCCGGTGATGATAACATTTCACTTTCATTGAGCCCGGCGTCAGGCCCTGGGCTAAATAGTTTCATCCTAACAACAGGCCTTTAAAGCAGAAGAATAAACTAAAGCTCTGAACGTCTAAACATCTTGTCCGATGACACAGCTGTAAATGATAGGTTTTCATTCTCAGGATGAGATCTGCTCGACTCCGATGGACGTGGTTGGCTCCAGAGCTGCTAAGTCGTGCACAGACCCTGAAAATTGTTGACTTTCTTAAAACTAAATCCACCGGGGATAGTTAGCCAAGGAGTAGGTCACATGCGGTAAAGGATGAGCTTCAGAGCGAGGCAAAACGAGTTCTAAAACCCGAGCCAGCCATGAACTAGCGGAATGAACTTGGGGAAATGACTTCACCTCACTGAGCTCAGTTTGCTCATTTGCAAAACGGCACTGGTCACACCTACCTGCAAGGTGTCTGCAACCCTGGAGCATATGACGTGCTCGGCGAAGGGTAGCCACCGTTCTGGTTTCTTTTCCTCTCCCTTCTAAGTACAGAATACTTTTTAAAATGCATTTTCAAGAGGCTGTGTGGTTTAATGAAAATAGGGCACCTTACTGTTTAGGTTCTGACTCTATCAACATGTCAATAGCTAAGTCTGTGCGTTCAGGCTCTGTTCACTCCTCTGGGCCTCAGTTTACCCATCTATATAGCAAGATGGTTGAGTTCAGTGATCTCTGAAGTCCTGTTTAATAAGGAATTATGAGGTTAGTTCTGAGAAATCAAGGCTTTGCTTTCCTCAAACTGGTTTCTGGGGAAAGACAATATAGTGAGGGTCTTCTTTCCCTGCCTTGTCTCCTCTCCTGCCACTCGTCCCGAGGACATTGACTGTTCATGGCCTCTTTGTTCCCCCCTCTCCTCCCCGGCAGCATCCTGGTGAACATGGACGACAACATCATTGAACACTACTCGAACGAGGACACCTTCATCCTCAACATGGAGAGCATGGTGGAAGGCTTCAAGATCACACTCATGGAGATCTGAGCCCCGGTCTCGGCTTGCCCTCGCAGGAGCCCTCCGTGTGTTCCTCCCTGGGAGAGGAGGCCCGGCCCCAGGCCCGCACACCCACCTCACCCATCTCACAACTGCTGTTACACGACTGCTGGGGAGCGGGGCAAGGCGGAAAGCCCTACTCCTGTCTGTGTCTGGCCCGTCCACCAGCTCCTGCTCTGGAGCTGAGGCCCGAGCCCCTCGGGAAGGGGCCTTGTGCCTGTCAGACCTTTATTTATTGCCCACCTTTTACCGGAGCCCAGGGCCAGGCCCGCCAGGACTCTGCAGGTCACTGCTGGCTCCAGATGACGCCATCCAGAGCCCTCAAGGGCAACACGGCCAATTCATTCATCTCCAAGAGCCTGAGAAGGTCTGGTCCCGCCTGTCTTACCTCTCCACTTCTCCTGAGTGGCTGGACAAAATGAGCTGCTTCTGGGTGCAGTAGTCAGAGGTGGGATAAGAGGTGGACGCCCCCTTATTGGTCAACCCTTCAGGTTGATCTGGGGAAGGTCATCTTGCTAGACACCTCCAGAGGTCCCCAGTAAGTGGCCATCAGGCTATGTGCAAGAAGACATTCAGCTACCGTGTAATTAGTAAATGACACAGAAGGCATGCTGGACTGTGTACATAGTGTTTATAATATGCAATAATATATTTTGCCTGTGGTATGTGGGCATGTTTACTGCCACTGGCCTAGGGGAGGCAAGTGCCTGGAGACTCTGCTTTCTAGAAGAGGTTTCTGCCTCTTTGCTGTTCAGGAGACATACTGGGCTAGATAAGTGGCCTGCAGGGTGTAAGTGACTATGGTGGGTGTCCAGACACATGCTTGTGGGGCACAGCCAGGAACTCAATCCTGTCCGCAGAGGGAGCCTCATTCTCTCCATGGGCACAGTCTGCCCTGGAGCCCACCACCTTTGTCTCACGGCGATGGTGATGTGCTTTGCTTGAGTCTTGTGGAAAAGGTCATATTGTCTGAGGCCCCAGCTCCTCCAGCTTGGTGTTGGCTCTGCCTGAGCTCTCTGGAGAGACTGCAGGGGGTTGCCACCAGGGCCCTGTCACTGGGGCCCATTGCAGAGCTCCTTGGCTATCATGAGGATCCTGGTCACTGTGCAGAGCCTCGCAGTTTACAAACATGTCCTTCATCTCAAGTGGCCCCTTTAAAAGACCGACTGAAGTTCTGAGAGCGGGGCCAACAGCTCATGTCTGAATGGACAGGCCAGGATGGCCTCCGGGGCCCGTGCTTCTGGCTGCTGGATTTGGAGGGAGGGATGGAGGAAGGGACAGTGCCCCAAGACCCCTGGCTCTTCTGAAACCAGCTTCCAGAGAACTCCACCTCCTGCTACGGGTCCTGCGAGATGAAGAGGAAACACACTTCCCTAAACAATCACAAAATCGTGAACCGTCCTGGGCCGCTGTTCTCTTTGAGGGAACAGGTAGGAGGTCCAGGGGTTTGCATTCACCCTCATGGGTGGAAGCACCAACTTTTTGGTAGCCAGACACATCCCCCACCCAGGGTCCTAGATCTAGGGCAGGTCTTATGTAAGGGCCCACATCTGTTCGTAAAGCACTTTGACGTCTTACCTGGGGGCTCTCCGAGGGCCCCCTGCCCTCCCGTCCCACCTGCCTCTGGGGCCCATAGCAGGATAGAAGGGCTGCCTCCAGCCCGGCTGTTTCTTGTTGAGACTGCAGAGGATTTGAATGCAATGGAGGGCAGGTGCCATGCTTAGGAAGACCTCTGGGTGGTGGTAAGGGGGGCACCTTTCTGTGTGTCTTCTGGACAACTTACCCCTCCCTGTGGTGCCAAAGGTTTGCGTCCTGGATCCAACCCTGCTCCTGTCTGTCCCTTCTCCCTCCACTCTGACTGCCATGCCCTGGACTGCAGCTGGGGGACCGTCCTGGGTCCTGATGGGCCTCTGCTCTAAGATGGACACATTCAGTGTTGGAAACACCTGATATACTATGCACTTCCCATCCTCCTTGCCTTAGGGGTGGTTTCAGACATGGTTGGCAGACGGAATGGCAAGTACTGTTGGAGTGGGGCACAGGACTCCAGGTTAGGGGAAAGATTTTTAAAAATTGGCAATCTGACACAGGTTACCTACCCTTCTCTCTAGACTCAGTGGAGAAAATGTTTGCTGATCCTGCCCTAGGCAGAGAATGAATCAGAAATGCTTTTGCATTTATCCCAGGTCCCTGAGCAATCGCTGTGGTGACCACGACCAGAACAAAGAATATGAGGTCAGTGCCACCAAAGGCTGTGCAGAGTGCCACCTCCCGTCTGATCTGCCCTCATGCTTAGCACGCCCCCTCTGCGTCCTCAGTGCCCATGGCTTAGCTGCGCTGTGCGCTCCTATGGAAGTTAGCAGAGCTCTGACGAGGAACATTTCCCAAGCAAAAACACTCCAGAAAAATAGGAAAATTGGCCTCTTCTTCCTCTGTTGTCCCTTAAGTTAATCTCACTCAAATAAATAAGCTTTTTAAAAAAATCCATGTAAAATGAGGGGCACGTGGAACAAGTGTTGTTAAATACATACCCAAATTGCTTAGACTTGACGGGTGTTTGGAAATTGGGACCAACAGGAAAATGCAATCAGATGTCATCTTGGAGTTGGATCCTAAGTGACTAAGGCATGTCCCATGCCACAAACTTAGGAAGCATGAAATGAATTGAACATTTATTTTCCTTATTTAAAATCATGAAATGTAACAAAAACAGAGGGATTGTGCCAAATTCTATGAACAACCCTTTCTTCAAGACAAGCAAGGGAGATTGATAGATGGACAGTTTGCTCTCATGGTTTTTTTTGTTTTGTTTTTTTAAAAGGCAAATGTAACTTAATAGTTTTGTAAATGGGAGAGGGGGAATCTATAAACTATAAATACAGTTATTTTATTTTTTGTACATTTTTAAGAAGAAAAAATAAATATTCATAAAGTAAGAGTAAATGACAGTGTCGAGTCCTTTTCGTGAGGTGGGTGTTGGGTTTTCTATTGGAAAGCAACCTCTCCGTGAGCTGGGAAGATTCTAGGCTCCCCTGGGGCACCATCGGGTCCTGGGCTTCAACACAGCCAGCGTCCCCTCTGGTTGCCTTCTGGTGTCCCACCCCGAGGTGAAGTGAGAAGAGGGCTGAAGAAAGCAAGTGGCCTTCGGGGTGACTGACCGGCCACCAGGGTGGTCACTGTTGACCAGTTCCTCTGTCCACTCGCTCAGACCTCCCCCCGGTCCCCTCAGCCCCCTCG